TTCCTCAGAACTGAGGAAGTTCTGAGGAAGGGTCACCGGACCCGAAACGTTAACTCTGTGTTTCCATGCTGTACATCTCTATGACTCGACAACTCTATGGATCACCTGTTCATCATTACTGAGTGCCCAGGCCTCTGGATTACAAGTCCAATAGTCTAACATTAATCCTATAGTTCCTGCTAAATGCCTCCCCAGTTACAATTGTGATGCTGAGTAATAATGAGTTTTTAAAAGTTTTTTTAAGGTGTGCTGCCAAAATGTTAATTGTATAACAACTGAAATTTTCTTTTAGGACTGGTGACGATTGAAGTATCTCCTAAAATCGTTCTTTATAAGAAACCTCTAACTATAAATTGTACAATTGATGACAATGTAGAATCCGTGAACTGGTTCATTTCAGGACCTGAAGATGAGAAAGAAGCAAATATTTCTGCACATCATTATAGTTTTGAGAACAATTCTGCATCTAATTCCATTCTTAAAATAAATGCAACTTCAATGTGGAAAGGTAAGGCCATTTATGCAAGTTTACTGCATAGCACAAGTTATCGATTTCATCATTTATAAATAACTGATGGTTCCAAAATCCAATAGCATACATTTCTGCCATTATTCCACATTCTATAGTCTTTGGCAATTGGGTTTGAATACTATTTCAGTTTTGGATTATTTCCAACTATTTTCGCTCAATTCTTTTGAATCTTAGCATGAAAGTCCTGGATGGACCCTTCTGTTAGAATCTAGGTTTGGCGGCAGACATGAAAGGAAATGTCACTTCCAGTTGGGTGGTATTTACCTTCTGCAATTGCACGGCTCTCAGCTCACCACATATGTATGCACATCTAGCTCGGCAAAGATGTGGTGGACACAGGCATGAAACTCCACCTCTCACCAGTGCGTTCCAGGGTTGAATGTCCTGCCAACTTATTTAAGGGACACTGAGCCAGCCATTCACTCAATATAAGCCAACAGTTTTTGTTTAGCCTGTGTTGGTCCCTGCCAACCCCACCAAGCTTCACACACTCTTCCCAAACCTGAAGCTGTCACAGTCACTACAGGAAATGGAACATGTGTTTCAGCAGTGCCTTGCTATGGGCTCTCCTCCAGGTTATCTGGGAATGTAGGGAAGACCTATTTCCAGAGAGGGAGCAACAGTGAAGGCCTAGGAGATATAGATGGAGGTAGCAGTGCAGGTCAGCGCCAAAGGGACTCACACTAGATCATGGCTCTAGACTGAGAAAGAATGAACAGTGTGCTGTGCTGCATAATGGCAAATGGCACTGTCTAGTCGTTGCTACATGACACTCATAGGGGCTTCTGGCTGAGTAACAGTGTGAGTGCAGAGAGATTTCAGGTAGGAGGACTGTGTGCGGGACTCAGCAGCAGATGGACTATGCGGATTGAATGAGTGAGAACCATTTCATGCTGTCAATGTTCTACCAGTTGCAGGGCAGCTTGGTTCTAAATCAATTATTGGAGAGAGTTCAGGAGTTGGTATAGATGTTCCTGCTCCTAAACCTTTCATGTGCCCAATCAGAAGCCACTTCTGTCCTTTTGTGTCTCTGAAGGAAAAGAACACTCACAAATGGAGGCGATGGTCCCAAATTGGTGAAGGGGCATGGTGATGTCAGCTGCTCACACCTTAACTCCTTTCAAAGCAAACTGGCAGGGGAGGACTGGCATCTGTATGGAGGGAGGCTTAAGAGGAAGCAAGTGAGAATTCATCTAGTCTGCCGATGACAGATGAGACATTATTTAGAGAAGGGAGTGTGTGTGGGCATTGAGTGATTCCTTCTCATCTCCACTCCAGCTACCAGCAGACAAGCCAAGCAGGTTATGAGACAGTGTCTCTCCAACTCTACCTCCAGGTCCTTCTCAGTCACCAACTCCAGCTCTGCCACCATTGCCACTTCTGAGGATAAACTCTCAGAGGATGCAGAAGCATCTCCCCTCACCTGAGTTGTTGCGACTCTCAAGTTAAATCATCACTGGTCATCTCTGTCTAATGAAAGAGCAGCCCCTATTATTCATTCCATCATTTTATTGAACATACATTTCTGTTTCATGTTGCATTATGTAGGTAAATACTACTGTTGTTTTTATTTCGAAAGTGGATCACTGATCCATGAAGCTAGTGGAGATTCAAACATTTATCTTCTCCCTGAGGAGATCACAACAATTCCATCACAATACTCAGTTTCAGGAAATGAGAGCATCCCTGTCAAATGTTGCATCAAGGATGATGGAGAAAATTATACTGTCACGTTGGAAACAAAAGGCAGCTCAGGTACAACTACACAATTTTAGGTTTTATGCATGTTTCCCTGAAGAATTACATAAATATTAAGAACTTCTGAAATATACTGATTTCTCATCTTAAATTAAAATGTTAAAAGCCTTCTATTTTGTGATTATGAAATATTACATCTAAACTATGAAAATTTTCAGTAAGTCATGGTTTATAACCTCTCATTCCAAATAACTGCTATGTAAGACAAATACATACCTTCGAAATGTTGAGTGAATGATTGCATCTGTGAATTTTATTGTCAAAGTGTAATTTGCCTTTATTTATTGCATTTACTTTATATGAATAAATGCATTGATTCCAAAATCTTCAAGGTCATATTCAAGTTAGATCAAGACCTAGTTATGTTTGCAATTTCAAAGTGGCTTTTTTGCGATGAAATTACCAATCTGTCTCAAACATGGCCAATCCTGGATACATATTCAGAAGTTAAGAGATCTTGGGAGTAGGCGGGTCAGGGATTGCATCCAGAATCAAGTTTACTTTACATCAGGCTTTACAATATCTTCAAGATATTAACAGGAAAAGATAACGTAGATAAATTTTTCCACTGCATGGCGACTCCAGAGCTAGGCGACATAGCCTGAGAATTAGAAGAAATGTTAGGAAGCACTTCTATACACAAAGGGTGATAGATATTTGTAACTCTCTTCCACAAACAGCAGTGGATGTTGGATCAGTTGTCAGTTTTAAATTGGAAACATAATATGGGCTAAAGGCTGGTATATGGATTTAGGCCACAGATCAGCCATGATCGCATTGAATGGTGGAACAGGCTTGATGGGCTGAATGGCCTACTCCTGTTACTATTTTCCTATGTTCCAATGCCATGATATTTCAAAGAGGCTCTGCCCATCCAGGCATATTGTTACTATCCGATCTAATGGTAATACTGAACAAGCTAGATCTAAGAGTGAAACCCGGCTTGAAAAGTCATAAATTTTATTTTTGCGACAGTGGTTCTTCAATGAACATGCTCGCGTAAGGTTGCCAATGTTCTTTCAAGAAAATAACATGACATTATTAAAACAAAGAAAAGAAATTCGAAAGATATATTAGGTAGTTTTGAAAGATCTTAACATAAACAGCAAAAACATTAGTTCAACACATTTTTTTTATTTACTCGTTTATGAGATGTGGGGGTTGCTGACTAGGCCAGCATTTATTGTCCATCTTTAATTGTCCAAAGGACCTATAGCAAGGACAGGATCCAAAGGACAATTAAGAGTCAGCCACATTGCTATAGGTCTGAAGTCACTTACAAGATCAGTAGTTTCCTTCCCTAAAGGACATTAGTGAACCAGATTTTTTTTTCTCCCTAACAATGGTTTCATGGTCATCATTAGACTCTTAATGCATATCTTCATTGAATTCAAATTCCACCATCTGCCATGGTAGGATTCAAATCAGAATCTGGATTAATAGTCCAGCGATAACATCACAAGGTCATCACCTCCTCTTGCCCCAGTTAGACAATTGTCTAAACAGCCTTCTGTCCTGTTTCTGTGAATCATGTGTATCTCTGTGGCCAAGAAGGAATGTGCAAACTCTTTCTTCTGAATGAGGCGGCTGCAGATGAGGATAGGTCTTTGCTTTGAGTTGTAGCTTGTAAGTTTAACATGGCAATCCAAAAGTCTTGCTAAATTGCCTTACACTGTGACCGTTTTAAGAATGAGAATGACAGCCAGCACTGACAGGGAATTGGAACGTTGAATCAACATCAATTGAGTGGTGGTGTATCATTAGTGTGAATATTAATTATATTTTCTTACTTTTTAGGTATTTCAGCAGTAGCTCAATTCATATCAACTTTGTCACTGAATCACAAAGTTAGGGATTCAATTGCCACTCCCAGAATTTTAATTGCAAACATTTCAGTTATTAATTGAGTGCAGTTTTGAGAGGGTGCTGCACTTCTGAGGTCATTTTTTCCAGATGATATTTGATATCAATAACTGTATGCCTTCTATGGTTGATATGAAAGTTCCCATGCTATTAGTTCAAAGAAGTAATAGTTGAATTATCCCTAGTTCTGGGTCTATATTTATCCATCAATCAATATCACAGAAAAACAGACTCTGTGATCATTATCCAAATTACTGCTTGTGGGATCTTACTGTGTGAAAATTACTGTTAGCATTCCAACCTACGACTGTGACTATGCTTCGAAGATATAATATTGACTGTGAAATGTTTTCAGATAGCCTTATATTATGAAATACTCCATGTAAATGAGGATTTTTTAAAATTTTAGATGGAGCTTCAAGTGAATTGGAGTCAACTGTCAATGGCACAAAGTGTTGGAAATACGTAATAAATTTCAAATTTGCAAACACTACTGTGTACAATTGTACATTCACAAATTTAGTAAGGCAAAGCACATCTGGAATGATAACTATTTCTGTCCTAAAAGGTAAGTAAAGCATTTGTCTCCAAATTCAATAAAATATTCCTTAAATAATGAAGAGCAAAGAAATCAGTCTTGTTCATTTATTTGCCAGACTATCAGTTACCATCAGAGAAGGTCTGCTATAAGTCTCCAGTCTTTCCTGATATATTAATAATTTATTTCACATTCGTGTTTGGTCTGCTTCTCGCTTGGCAGTTGGCCACTTTGAAATCCAAATGAGCAAAGGTGCTCAGTGCTTCACAGAAGGAAAAATAACAGTAAAACACCGTTAATACTGGTGATTGAGTCGCACATTCATCTGGCTGGTCCTTTCGAAGTATACAAAACCAGTCAAACCAGAACTGCAAACAGAAATTGCTGGGAAAACTCAGCAGGTCTGGCAGCATCTGTAGAGAAAGCAGAGATAACATTTTGGGTACGGTGACTCTTCTTCAGAACACCAGTCAGACCAGTGTGTCTTCATTTACCAACTTAAATGTATTTTCCTTGCCTCCTGAATCTTTTAAATTCATAGTCAAGAGAACCCACTGTTAGGGAAGCTTCCATTAAGGAAAAAGCAGTAAAACGTGGAAATGGCAGAGCTGATCCAGACTCATCTTGTATACCTTAATATAGAACTCCAGTTCAAACCAGTACCATATTTACAGGTTTTACAAGCTTTTACTGGGTTTTCTCTCCGAGGTGTGGGTATCCCATGCCCCCTCTCAAGCTCTATGGCAGAGAGCATCTGGTAACTATTCCTATGGTCTTTGATCCTGAAGGAGCTCAACTTTTTCTGTTCAGATGTAGAAGAGTAGCACAGAGGCCGGTATCCTGTGACGAAGTCACCCTTTATTTACACATGTTAGTACAGGGGTGGCACGGTGGCTCAGTGGTTAGCACTACTGACTCACAGCACCAGGGACCCAGGCTCGATTCCAGCCTCAGGTGACTGTCTGTGTGGAGTTTGCACATTCTCCCCGTATCTGCGTGGGTTTCCTCCGGGTGCTCTGGTTTCCTCCCGCAGTCCAAAGATGTGCAGGCTAGGTGGATTGGCCATGCTAAATTCCCCATAGTGCCCAGGAATGTTTAGGTTAGTTGGGTCAGACATGGGAATGGGTCTGGGGTGGGATGCTCTTCAGAGGGTTGGTGTGGACTTATTGGGCCAAATGGCCTGTTTCCACACTGTAGGGATTCTATGGTTCTGACCAGGTAGCTCAGAGCCAGTCCCTCTTTGAATCTCCTGTTCATTGTTTCTTATGTGCAGAGTAAATGGGCTCTGACCAGTCAGAGCCAGTATCTAGAAGGAGGAGACTCTCTGACTCTCCTGGTTATATCTGTCAACCAGGGCTCCCTGATTGGCCCAGGTTAACAACCCCAAATCAGGGATCTCATACTCAATGAGACCCACCTGGCCATCATTCCTACCACCACAAACCTCCTTGTTAAGGAAGTGTCATAATGAGGAGGGGAGGGGAAGTAAGGGAGGAATATCACTCTGGGGACAAAGAGAAAGTCTACTGGAGACTACAATGGTTATAACTTGTTAGAATTTCTAAGATTGAATCACAGTTTCAACTCAACTTGAGCAAAGTGACTTCCCATTTTAAAGAAGACATGTTTGGGTACCTATCTGAGGGGATTACCAAAGATGGAAATAGCAATGCAAGTGTCTCAACTCTCATTTGTTTCACTAGTAAATCAATACACCATCCGTTGGATTTGATGGATATAAAGGGCCCAGAGCACAGCGGCTCAGTGGTTAGCACTGCTGTCCCACAGTGCCAGCAACCTGGGTTCAATTCCAACCTTGACAATTGTTTGTGTGGAGTTTGCACCTTCTCCCCATGCCTTTAGGTGCTCTTGTTTCCTCCCACAGCACAAAGCTGTGCAGGTTATGTGGATTGGCCATGATAAATTGCCCGTAGTGTCCAGGGATGTGCATTAGGTAGGTTAGCCAGGGACTTACAAGATCATAGGGTGGGGGGTGGGGAGTGAGTCTGGGTGGGATGTTCTTTTGAGAGTCAGTGTGGACTTGTGGGGTCAAATGGTCTGTTTCCACATTGTAGAGATACAAAGCACTATAAGGAAAACAGAGCATGGAGTTCTCCCTGATTTCTGGTCAACATTATTGCCTACATTAAAAAAAAAGCTTATGGATTTTTTGTTACTTGTGGCACTTTGCTGTGCATAAATTGACAACTGCACTTGTTTACATGACAGCAGTAATTCTTCCCATAGAATCCCTACAGTGTGGAAACAGGCCATTCAACACAATGGCCCTCCAAAGAGCATCCCATTCAGACGCAACCCCCTACCCATCCCCATAACCCTGCATTTGCCGTGGCTAACCCACCCAGTCTGCACATTATGGACAATCCACCTAACCTGCACATGTTTGGACTGTGGTAGGAATCAGATTACCCAGTGTACACCCATGCAGACACAGGGAGTACATGCAAACTCCACACAGACAGTCGCTCAAGGAATCGAATGCAGGTCCCTGGCGCTGTGAGGCAGCGCTGCTAACCACTTAGCCACCATGATGCAGGCAATTTCTTAGCATCATGATGCAATGTTTCTTTTCACTGCAGCAGCAACTATTCTTCTACAGCATTTCATTGGGATGAAATGTTTCAGGATGTCCTTAAGCATTAAACATTGCTATATAATGCAAGTTCTTTCCTTAATATAAAGTAAATAATCTAACTTTGCTATAACTTTCATCTAAGAGAGGAAATTTTGGACTTCATCTGAATAAAACATATATAAACTTTAATTTTGATGCACATATTAAGTCTGGTGGAATTCTTTCTTTATATTGAATGACAGGTATATTGGAATATGCATAATGCATGACCCAACACTTGGCTGCTCAAATGTATGATAACATATGGTGAGAGGATGTAGAATTGGCCTTTCTGATCAAAGAGATGCCAAAAGGATCACCAGGGGCAAAGCCCAATTACAGAATAACATAGATGCAATGAAGTTTATTTATAAAGAAGAAAAGAAAATGATTTCAATGTATTTAGGAGAAAAGAAAAAAAATTGAGCTATAGGGAGAAGCTGAATAAGCCGGGGCTAGTTTCCCTGGAGCGTCGGAGGCTGAGGGTGACCTTATAGAGGTTTAGAACATAGAACATAGAACAGTTCAGCACAGTACGGGCTCTTCGGCACACGATGCTGTGCTGACCTATTATCCTACTAAGGTCAAACTACCCTGCATACACTACATTATGCTATCATTCATGTGCCTATCCAAGAGTCACTTAAAAGTCTCTAAATTATCTGACTCCACTACCACTGCCAGCAGCGCATTCCACACACCCACCACTCTCTGTGTAAAGAACCTACCTCTGACGTCTCCCCTATACCTTCCTCCAATCACCTTAAAATTATGCCCCCTCGTCATAGTCATTTCTGCCCTGGGAAAAAAGAGTCTCTGGCTATCCACTCTATCTATGCCTCTCATCATCTTGTATATCTCTATCAAGTCACCTCTCATCCTTCTTCGCTCCAATGAAAAAAGCCCTAGCTCCCTCAACCTTTCCTCATAAGACCTGCCCTCCAGTCCAGGCAGTATCCTGGTAAATCTCCTCTGCACCCTCTCTAAAGCTTCCACATCTTTCCTATAATGAGGCGACCAGAACTGAATACAATATTCCAAGTGTTGTCTAACAAGCGTGTTATAGAGCTGCAGCATAACCTCAAGCCCTTTAAACTCAATTCCCCTGCCAATGAAAGCCAACACACTGCACACCTTCTGTACAACCCTATCAACTTTGGTGGCAACTTTGAGGGATCTATGGATGTGACCCCCAAGATCCCTCTGTTCCTCCACACTGCCAAGAATCCTGCCATTAACCCTGTATCTGCATTCAAATGTGACCTTCCAAAATGAATCACTTTACACTTTTCTGGGTTGAATTCCATCTGCCACTTCTTTGCCCAGCTCTGCATCCTGTCAACGTCCCGTTGCAACCTACAACAGCCCTCCACACTATCTACAACTCCGCCAACCTTCATGTCATCAGCAAACTTACTAACCCACCCTTCCACTTCTTCATCCAAGTCATTTATAAAGATCACAAAGAGCAGAGATCCCAGAACAGATCCCTGCAGATTTACAAAATCATGAGGGACATAGATAGGTTGAAAAGCCAAGGTCTTTTCCCCAGGGTAGCAGAGTCCAAAATTAGAGGGAATAAGTTTACGGTGAGAGGGGTTAGAATTAAAAGGAACCTAAGGGGCAACTTTTCCTCGCAGGGGGTGGTACATGTGCGGAATGAGCCACCTTAGGGAGTGGTGGAGGCGGGTACAATACAACATTTAAAAGGCATCTAGATGGGTGCATGAACAGGAAGGGTTTAGAGGGATATGGACCAAATGTTGGCAAATGGACCTAGACTAATTTAGGATATTTGGTTGGCATGGACAAATTGGACCAAATGGTCTGTTTCCATGCTGTACAGCTCTATGAATCTATGACACTATGATTGCCCATTATGGTCTGTTTTCTATTTTAAACTTCTGTTCAGAAAATGAAGCATCATGCAAGAGTGAAGAGATTGGAGGTTATAAGTGGCAAACTACCGCAGTTGGCCAGTATGCAGAAAGCAATGACACCTGTGAAGAAGGAAAAGTTGGAAAAATAGTAAGATTTTGCACAAAGGAAGGCCAATGGAACAAAGTGTTCGTCAACTGTACACACAAAACACTCATCAAATTATTGTTTTTGGCCCAGGTAATCTTCTATGTTACTACGGGCTTTGATGTAATTTACTTGCTTATGTGTGAGGAAAATAGTTGACTCAGCTCTTGGCTTTATTCGAAAGTCAGTCCTGTTCCTGAGGCCAAATTCCATATGTCTTAGACAGGAATGTTCACATTTATTTCAGTGTATTTCAACTGAAATAAACCAAAAGATGTAGTAATTTCAAGTTAGGTCCAAAACAACTCGAGTTTCTGTGATCTTTTTGCTCTGTTTAAGAAACATTGCACATGAAGCCAGAAAGGGGAATTGCCTGTCCACCATCAACATCCGTTTGTCACTGAAACTCCAACTGTAGCCAACTGAATTAGTTAGGACAGTGAGCACGCAAGATTGCACCTAGTTGTGAACCTTTAAGGAGGCTCCGAAAATAAAGTCATTCTTTTAGACATATTTTAAAAGTCTTTAGATTTCATTTTACATACTAGGAAATTGACATCTGTACACCAGTGTAGCTAACAATTTATTCTTTGTAGTTTTCAGCTATTTAAAATACTTGTAAATGGCAGTGTGTGAGAAAGTTTTTCTCACATCATCCTTGTTTCGTTTCCACATCACCCCCCTCCCCCCCAGTTATCTTTCAGGCTGAGGGTTTTCCTTAGAATTTCTCCATCTAGTGGTTCGCACTGTTGCCTCACAGCACCAGGGACCCGGGTTCGATTCCACCCTCGGGCGACTGTCCGTGTGGAGTTTGCATATTCTCCCTGTGTCAGCGTGGGTTTCCTCTGGGTACTCCGGTTTCCTCCCACAGTCCAAAGATGTGCAGGTTAGGTGGATTGGTTATGCTAAATTGCCCATAGTGTTCAGGGATGTGTATATTAGGTATGTTTATAGGGGATGGGTCTGGGTGGGATGCTCTGAGGGTCAGTGTGGACTTGTGCTGAAAGGGCCTGTTTCCACACTGTAGGGATTCTATGATAGTTCAAACTTAGAGTGAGAAGTCAACCATTTAAGACAGAGATGAGGAGGAAAATATGTGGAATTCCTTAACACACAGGGCTCTACGTAAGTATATTCAAGGCTGACATTGACAGATTTTTAATTGAGTGTTATGGGCATAAGGCAGGAAAGTGGAGTTGAGAGTTACCTGATCAGACATGATTGCAATGAGCAGACTCAAGGGGCCGAATGGCCTATTTCTGCTCTTACATCTTGTGGTCTTGTGTTGGGTGGAGCCTGTCTACTGGGTTTCACCCACAGCAGGCTTGAAGGACCTGTAGCTCACCTGAAGCATTGGCAACAGCCTCCAGAAAGTTGATCTCTTTTATCCTCACTCTCTACCTGCTATATTGGCAAACTGGGGTCTAACTGGGGAATCCCAGTTGGCGTTCTAAACTTACCACTAATAAGATTTTTAAAGTGTGTCATTGCCTGCTCACCTCGCAGTCCACCTCAGGAATGAATTCAGAAGGCCGGTGTACTAGCCAGACTCGTAAGGTTTGGATTCTATTTGCCTCCACTCCTGGAGTTACAGACTCGAAGACAGAACCCAGTGTGCGTAACACCACAGGATAATAATTGATATCCTAATACACGTTACTAAAGCTCAATTTTCACAAAAATGGACAAAGCTGTGGAATTTGGTCACCGAAGCATAAGATGGAAAGGGCAAACAGTCATTTAATAAAAATGGAAATTGACTTACCCAGTTGCTGTAAATCAGGAATATAATCACTGGCAAGGCCCAATCATTCTTATTGTTATAAAGCTCAGATACACCTTAAGAGATGTTAACAGCAAAAGTCCAACGTTTGGGGCTGAGCAGTAAAGTGTAGTGCAGAATGTATTTTACTTTATTTGGTTTACATTGTCTTTCAGGAACTAAGCAATGGACGTGATTCAACTTACCATGAGCTGCCATTCATATTGAAAAATCTAACTGACTTTATTGACAAGCAGGAGAAGACTCTTCCGGATAATATTGCTACAATTAAAATTCTGGATACACTGACCTTAGCCACAGAGAGGTCAAATTCTATATTTAATGAAAGTGTTATGTCAGTAAGTAATTTTCCTTTGTTTGTAAGAAAATCAAAGCTCCTAACTTGACAATTAAATTCCTTTGCGTTTTATTTGTAGTTAAACTGACTAAAAGGATGATGTTCTAAGTTATAGTGCCTATTTAAGAAATAATTTGTGATGAATTGTTGTATCTTATCATGTGATGAATTCTAGAGGTGAGGTGTGAGTATTAAAATTATCGCAATTAAGGTCAGAGTTGGTGTACTGCAGGCTGTCACTTTGAGAGGTGGACAACTTCAAGTTTTTGGGGTGGCATGGCGGCTCAGTGGTTAGTACTGTTACCTCAGTGTCAGGGACCCACCTTCGATTCCACCCTCAGCCAGCTGTCTGTGTGGAACTTGCCGTTCTCCCCTTGTCTGCATGGATTACCTCTGGGAGCTCCAGTTTCCTCCCACAGTCCAAAGATGTCCAGGTTAGGGTGGATTGGCCATGCTAAATTACCCATAGTGTCCAGGGATGTCAGGCTGGGTGGGTTAGCCATTGGAAATGCAGGTAGGGTAAGGGGTGGGTCAGGGCGGGGTGCTCTTTGGAAGATTGGTGTGGACTCAATGGGCCAAATGGCCTGCTTCCACAATGTAGGGATTCGATTAAATCAGAGTGACTGCCCTTGACATCAAAGCCACATTGGACCAAGTGCGGTAACAAAGAGATGAATCAAAACTGAATTCTTCACGCACTTACGATAATGCAGCAGATGTTGTTCAATTATGGAAACATATCTGATGTAGGTTACCACATTGTGACCTTCATAAGTATGGGCTGGTTGGGTACAATTAGTACCTTTTTTGTTGCAAACAGCCAAAGGTCATGCTGTTTGATATGATCCACAAATCGCTGGGATGTACGGTCACGTACTTAGACAACATCCTGATGACCACGAACACCAATGGTGTTGCTACCGTGTAGTTATAGGACAAAACAGTGATCTCCACCTGCTGCTCAAACCTAGTTTCCAGTTACTCTGGGTATATTGATCTTTAAAATCTCATTGCTTTTATTAAAAACCTTGTACTTTGGAGTTGAGAGAAAAACAGTTCAAACTGACTTTAAAATGGCTACCAAAGTTGAAGTACCTCCACAGAGACTGGTATCCTGTTGCCAAGTCAACCATTATTTACATGTGGAAAGTGCTTGACACTGGTCCAGTTCCCTCAGAGCCAGCTTTTAGAGTGTCAGAATGTCTGACACTCCTCCTTTTATCTGTTACAGCGATCCCAAATTAGATCAAATTTTGATTTGATTTATTATTGTCGCACGTACCTAGGTACAGCGAAAAGTTTTGTTTTGCATGCCGTACAGGTAGACATATAACACAAAGTGCATTAGGGTAATAGAACAGAATGAAGAACACAATGTTACAGCTGCAGAGAAGGTGCACAGAGAGCAAGATCAACATTAAATCTAAAATTTGAGAAGTCTATTCAGAATTCTAATAACAGCAGGGAAGAAGCTGCTCTTGAACCTTTTCGTACATATATACAAACTTTTATATTTTCTGCCCGACAGAAAAGGGTAGAAGAGAGGATAACCAGGGTGGGAGTGGTCCTTGATTATGTTGGTTGCTTTCCTGAGTATAGATGGGGTCAGTGGATGGAAGGCTGGTTTGCATGATGGATTGGGCTGTGTTCACAACTCTCTGTAGTTTCTTTTCAGAATAAAAGACTCAATCAAGGAACTTATATTCTGTGATGTCCACCTGGCTGAGCTTGTTACAATCATTACATCTCTCCCTCTCTGAGTCCAAGAACATAGGTGGGTCCTTTTTCTTGTAGGGTCTCCTGGGACATTTTAGCACCAGGTCAGATTCCTCCAATCCTGCCTCTGAAACAGGTGGCATATAATGCATAGGAGTTTGCCTCTTGGCCCAGGGTCTCAGGAGAAATTCACTCTCTTCTTCCAGCAGCTAAGGCTTCAATGGGGTGGGATCCACTGTGTCCATCTCAGATTCAGATATCTCTTCGATGCTAATGGAGAGGGAGAACCTATGGGCTCCAAAGCCTTTCCAACTGTTCCGAGGAGCAGGGCACATTGTTCCCCCGCACTGTTTGTGAGCTTGTGGCTTCTGTATAGTCCAGTTTTTTGTTCAGGGCCGTCACTCCTATCCAAACTTTGTATGTCACTGGTCCTGACCTTGCATCAACCAAGCTCTTACCCATGCAGGGCCATTTCCGTGGTTCCTACAACAAATTTTATCCCGTGTAGTAAACTGTATCTCTCACTTGGCAGAGTCTGCCATCCGGCATTGATGCTCCTGGTGCTTTTCACCCGCCCCCCGCCTGGGAAGATTGAATAATAACCTGGTGTAGAGTTTTCTCCCCATTAGCAACTCTGCTGGAGCCATCCCTGTAGTTGCATGAGGGGTGGTTCTACAATCAAATGGGAACCAGGACAGTTTGATATCCAGCACTGCTGTAGGCTGTTTTTTGAACCCTGCCTTCAAAGTTTGGAGTGTTCCTTCTGCCAGACCATTGGATGATGGATGGTGTGGAGCTGTCCTTATATGCCAAATTCCATTCGACTTTAAGAAATATTTAAGTTCCCTGCTGGTAAATGATGCCCCAGTATCTAAGACTAACATTTTCGGGAGTCCATGTATTGCAAAAGATGCAAGCAGTTTTTCTATCATCGCTCCTCTGTTTGATAAATGAACATTATGCACGTACAGTCATTTTTTGAGTGGGCGTCTACAATGACTAAGAACATTGAGTCCATGAAAGGACCTGCATAATTGACTTGTAACTGAGTCCAGGGCATTCTGAGCACTGACCCACTAACACAGCTATGTCTGTATAGAGCCTGGCCACCAGACATAGCTTCTCACCAACATCTTCATTTTGGAAACCCCTGGATGACCCTAGTGGAGCTCAGCCAGGACCTGGCCGCGACCTTTGCTCAGGCCAATCACCCTTGCTCCCTGTAATAACATGCCATCCTCTACCGTGATCTGGTCTCTCTGGGTCCAAAAAGATTTCATTTCTGGTTGTGATGGTTCTTTGGTTTCCCCCCATCACCACCAGCTATTTCAGTTTTGCCAGGACTGGATCTTCCTGCATCCAAAGTCTGATGTTGTCAGCTGTGATTGGAAGTGCATCCAGAAAATTTAAAACCATTACGGACTCTTCTAGGGGCGGCACCACTGGTGATGTATCTGTCAGCGGGAGGCGACTCAATGCATTGGCTTTGGTTTCATGGCATCCCAGACAGTGTTCCAACTTGTAATTATACGCACTTAGTATTAGGACCCACCGCTGAATTTAGCCTTAAGCTATGGGTGGTACTGCCTTGTCCTCTTTAAGTAGACCTATCAGGGTTTGCAGTCTCATTATTACATCCATGAAAGTATTGTTGGAACTTCTTGACTTCAAACATGGCCGCCAAACCTTCCTTCTCTATCTGGGCACAGTTATGCTCTGCATTAGCCAAAGTCCTGGATGCAAAGGTTGTTGGGCATTCATCTCCATTGGGCCACCTATGAGCTAATACTTCCCCAATGCTGTACGGGGACACGTTGCGTGTCTATACCAGATCTCACTTGGGATCAAAGTGTTGCCAACACCTGAGAGGATGATAGTTGTTTCTTCACGTCCCTGAAAGCTATGGCTTGGCTACTCAACCATTTCCAAGGCTGACCCATTTTTTAGGGGTTGACGTAAAGGTGCCAGGATGGAGGCCAGGTTATGTATGAACTTTCCATAATAATTCACCAGCCCTAGGAAAGACCGAAGCTCCGATACAAAAGTGGGAACCGGGGTACCTTTGATCGTGCTCACTTTATCTTTCAATGAATATAACCTGGTTGTGTTGGCCCTGTAACCCAAGAGGTCACTTAGAGTGCCTGGAACACACATTTCTCCCTTCTAGGTATACGCCTGCCTGGGACAAATATTTAGGGACTGTGTCCAAGTTCTCTAAGTGCTCCTTGTTAGTATTTCCTGTTATTAGCGGGTCATCTAGATAAATGGAGACCTGGGGTTAACCATACAAAATGTTCTCCAAGGTCTGCTGAAAAATTGGACAGGTTGATGATACCCCCCCAAAATGGTAGTCTCAAAAATTGGTACAAACCCTTATGGGTATTAATTATAGCATACTTTTGGGAATCCTCACCTAACTGTAAATGTAAGTACGCATGGGTCATGTCCGGCTTTGTGAAAGACAGCCTCTCTGCCAATTTTGCATGTAAGTCCTCTACGCAAGGGATTGGGTATTTATCCAGCCGCAAAAAGTGGTTTACCATTTGTTTAAAATCCCCACGAAGGCAAACCAACCCATCAGGCTTCACAATCCGTACGTCTGGTGCTGCCCATTCTGCAAACTGGGCTGATTTGATGATTCCCTTCGCTTTCCAGCCTCCTGATTTCTGTCTCTACTTTTGCCCGTAAGGTACATGGCACTGGGTGGGCCTTTCAGAATCGTGGTTTCAAGGTGGCCTTTGGTTCTTTGATAGTCCCTAGACCTTCCTGAAATACTTCCGGGTATTTAATTAGGACTTTCTAATCAGAACCAATCTAGGTGAATCTCTCTCAACCAATTTCACCCCATCAGGCTTGGGCTTGTGCCTTTTACTACCATCATGGGTAACTGAAGCAGCTCATAAGAGACCAGAACTGAAGCTGTACCCTTAATCTGTAAAGGTTCCCCAGTGTAGATTCTCAGTCTATCCGAGGTCTTATGCAAACTTAAGGGTTGGAGTCCAGAGTGAATCTGACTGGTTCTAGAACACAGAACATAGAACAGTACAGCACAGTACAGGCCCTTCGGCCCACGATGTTGTGGCAAACTTTTACCCTAAACCTAAGGTCTATCTAACCTCCACCGCTACCTTATACTATCATCTATATGCCTATCTAATAGCCGCTTAAATGCCCCTAATGAGGCCGACTCCACTACCCTCTCCGGCAATGCATTCCACGCGCCCCTACCGCTCTCAGAATAAAGAACTTACCTCTGACGTCTCCCCAATATCTACCTCCTTTCAC